ATGTTATCTGCTAAATCTTTTAAGAATAAAATGCTTAAAGGCTTGGCTTTGTCTAATATTCAGTTAAGGTCTTGTAAGTAATCTAGCATAGGTGTTACGAATGAGTGAACTAAATAAGTGTGGCAAGTGAACACCTCTTAATTGTGTGTTACAGTGTGTATACCTATCTACAGCCTAGAAATCTTTGCGGTAACCTAAAACATTAAAGTTTTGCTAAGTTAAAAAGATATACTTTGAGCTTAGTGAGAGATTGTGTTGTAAAGCTCATAGTTAACAGAAATTATAAAATGTTCATAAATTTGTCAATCCAAAGAATGCCAGTATAACAGTTTATAATAGTCTACTTCTCAGTGTTCACTAAAAATTAAGGTACCTAATGGTTTTAAGTTCTAATTAAAACTAGTTAAAGTAATAAGGAAAACATTTCTGCATGCTAAAGAATGTATCTTTTGATAAAAGAAAGTAACTTTATTCCAAAGTACAGCTGTTTATTTAGAAATAGAAATCTAAATGTAAAAAGGTTGTAGAAAGTTTGTGGAAGAATTTAATATGGCCATGCTATATAAAATTAAAGCAAATGAGTCTCAGCATCAAGTACACAGCAAAATTAGAATTTTGTTTTCAGTTAAAAAGACAAAGTTTTCTTAACTGTTAGTCTGCTCCTAATATTGAAAGATTGCAAAAAGTTCTCTAATTGTTTTATCAAAGCAGTTTCTCATGCTTAAAGTCTCAATGAGTTGTCGGAGTATTTAAGAAAATAAGATCTTAATATTAAAAAACCTAAAAGCTAAAGTTTGCTAGAACTGTGTAACCTTCTTTATTTGCCTTTGAGGTATTTTTTGTCATTTTAGTTAAATAGGTAAGTATTGCCTCATGGCAACCTATAATCCTATTTAAGCAAGTACCAAAGAAACTTTCTTCTGACAACTTCCCAAAATTAAATTCAAAAAGGTACTTTTACCTCTACTTAACTCTGATATTTTCCAGAGGGCTCCTGGAACATGTCAGAGGAACTTTTTCTCATTGGAGAAAGTATTTGGCTAATTTAGCTTATTTATCTGATACATAATTACCTGCTTAATTACCTAGAAAGCACTGTCAGAAAGAATAAAGCTAAACTTTGTTACTAAATGTTTTGTGTTACAGAAATATCAAAATTTCCTTATGTCAACTGTCTTACAGTAAGCTCTCATCAAATCTTTAACCATTGTCATTTGTAAGTCTTTATTATTTATAGTCACTGTTTTATTACTCTTAAGCTAGTAAAGAACTAGATTTCAGCAGAACAGGTATTAGTTACATAGGATTAAGTAAACTAAGGAAGATGATTTTGTGGCTTTTTGTTTCAAATGTTGTTGATAAAGTGTTTTAAGCTTTTTCTCTTAAGCTGACAACAGTTTAGTAAATGACTGCCTTTATAAGCAGAATTGAAATTTTATCTTTCTCTCTACCTGA